TTATCTGGCCCGATGAACCCAGGACCTCAGGGACACAGACCCTGCTGCAGGCTTTGATTGGTTTTCTGATTAATCTGGACAGTAAGCTATATAGCTTGTCTTGTGCAGTGTGATCCAGAGGCTCACAGCTGTGCTTTCATAAACCTGGTACACAGGAAGGCATCTGGAACCTTCTAGTCTCCACATGGGAGCCCATCAGGGAATGTCATTGCATTTTGACCTTTTACAGCCTTTGTCATATGTTTATTGAAAGTGAAAAAAAGCTACTTAGTAAAAACAGTATAAAAGGATAATATTTATGCTCTTCAGTTAGTTGACCCCAAACTACATTAATGTAATAAAGTGTGCTCTAAGTGTATTCAGATAAAAGCACAGTAGGTATAAACAGTTTCTTCTGTCCTTCTGCTTACTGTTCAAGTAATGATGTGTTGTGTGGGGTGGATAAGGAAGAGTGACGTAGTATTTTATGTAAGAGAAGCAGGAAGAACCAGAATGCCCATATGGGAAAATTTCCATAACACAAAGCATGATGCTCTTTGAGGGTCTGACACATACCTCCCAAATAAATCACATAGAGGCTTATTCTTGATTATAAGTGTCTGGCTTAAGCTTGGTTTGTTGCTAGCCAGCTTGTCTTATCTTAAATTATCCTGTCTACCTTTTGCCTATGGGAGTCTATCTTTCTCTATTCCTGTATATCTTACTTTCACTCTTATTCAATGGCTGGGTGGCTGGATGGCCAGTCTCTGACATCCTCCTCCTTTGTTCTCTCCTTGCTCATCTTCCTCATTTCTCCTTCTATTTATTCTCTCTGGCTGCCAGCTCTGCCTATCCTTGGGGCTGCCTCACTATTGGCCATTCACTTCTTTACTAGACCAGGTTTTTTAAACAGGCACAGTAACACAGCTTCACAGAGTTAAACAAATGCAACGCATATAAAAGTAACACACCTGAAAATAATATTCCCCAACAGTAGATGAACCTTTCAGTTTGTTATGGCTGGGAAGTTAGTAACTCTTTCATGGAGGGCCACCACATATGGTGGTCCCTTGTCTCTAAAAGGCCGTGATATTGCTGTAAATCAGGAGCAGGGGTCAGACTTAAGCAAGGGGTAATGCTGTGTTCAATGGCAGTGTGGATGTGACTTGTGCAATGATGTGGAGTGAGCCTGGCTCTGTGTCCTGGGGTTCTGTCAGAGACTGTGGCATATTTCTCAGTTGAGCCTCACACTCTCTCTAGACACTGGTATGATAATAGTAGCTTTCCAGGATTGAAGAGGCATAAAGAGAAAGTCGATCACAGTCTACTCTGCTATTTGCTTCATAGACTTGGTGGATAGTTGAGTTTTTGTTCAAGGCTCTTCTTCCATTTGATCTGAGTTAGACTCAAATATTCTGAAAAAATACAACCATCAGGCCAGGTCCCGAGCGCCATAGAATTCTGTTTTTTTTTTTTTTTTTTTTTTTCCCCCTTCGGTTGATGCCTATTTCCTTGGTGGTTGCAGAATAAGAACATGCCTTTTGTTGTGGGTGGACACCTTTGGAGTGTGTGATTAAGCTAGCAATTAATAAAAAAAAAAAAAAAAAGAGAGGTGACAACTGGTGTTACTAGGCTGCAGTTGAATGCATTGGCTTCTCTCTACAACAACAGATTGGTGGAGAAGCCACCTGTGGGGAGGAACATCCAAATTCAGGAAAGGAAGCTGCTGGGAAAAAGGTCTCAGAACAGAAAATCAAAGCATCAGAATTGGATGGCTAGCTGGCTGATAATTTCATTCACTAAATCAACCTAAAATTTTATTGGGTAACTCATATATGTCTGATAGTATGCCAGGTGCCAGAGATACTTCTGTATATACCGTATAGTTCTCCTGTGAAAGGGCTCACACTATCACAAGATAATACACACAGAAGCAACAAGTTAGATTCATTGTAGTTGGTGCTGGAGAGGTGATGTTTAACCTTCACTGCTGGCAAAAGTGAGGGATGGTGGATTTTAAGAAATGCAATAAAGCTGTATTAATGCTATTGAATAGTTAATTTGAGCCTGGCCTTGTAGGGCTTGTTGAGATCTAAAGGTAGTCTAGCATGGCAATCAGAGGGGAACAGATGGGAGGTAGGAAGGAAAGCCAGGAGGAGAGGTCCAGGCGGGCTTTGAGTTCTGTATCTGCCACCGATTAACTGAGTGATGTGGGACAAATGTCTCCTCCTCCATGTGAGTCTATTTCTTCATCTGTAAAGTGGGAATAAAGAGTCCATTTCTTAGTCGTTTATGGACATGGCTCAAAGGATAAAGAGCATGCTGAGCAAGTGGGAGGACTCGAGTTCAGATCCACACAACTCACGGAAAAGCTGGGAGGAGTGGTGGCTGCTTTAATCTCAGCAATAGGAGGGTGGATCAAGATCCCCTGGAGTAAACAGGCTAGCTGTACTCCTGAATTCTGGGTTCAACAAAAGACCCTGCATCAATAAATAATGTGGAGAGTCAGCAGGGAAGATACCTGATATCAACTTGAGTCTCTGCACACATGTACACATGTGCCTGTACACCAGCACACGTGCATTCACGAACAGGAGAATGTTTTTTGCATGCATTTTTGCATATCACACTCTTGCAAAGATAATGCATTTCTTATGTGGTGTTTGATGAATTCAACATTAGTTCATGTAAAACACAGTGTATGTGGCAGGTACAGGAACAACCACAGTGGCAAGGCTAAGCCAAGAATTGCCACTTATGACAAAGTAGTAAGAAGGTCTGAATATCAACTCCTGTTTTTATCCTTGCAAACATCTGCCTATACTGTCTTTAAACAGTGTCTGATCCTGGGATATCAGACTCTATAAAACACAGCTTCCCATTGGTGATCCAGGTGACTAGTGATCAAATAGTTCTTTATGTTTTCCTGGGATGGTGATGCACAGACACCATTGCATTGAGAAACTGATTCAGAGGCTCAGGTGAGTATTGGAGAGTTCTCAGTTTAACATCTCATTAGATCTGGGTTCAGGTTCTGGCCTTCCCCTTTGTTGTCCATATGACCTTGGGAAAATCCCACCCAGTCCACCCAGATTTGGCTTCTACATCTCCAAAATGAAGTCAGCATACTTATTAATTGAGATGGGACGTCTTGTTACAATAATGGGGAAGGAACTCTGACTGTGTAGAAACGTACTTTTAAGACAGAACAGGTCTAATAACAAGTCACATGTATAGTTATAAAATTTAGCAGTAGCAAACATTTTAAAGGAGTGGGTGAAATTATTTTTACTAATGTTATATCTAACTAATTATAAACAAAATGCATAAAGAATCTTTACTGCCTGTACTGGCTGGTTTTGTGTGTCAACTTGACACAAGTTAGAGTCATCAGAGGAAGGAGAGTCGTTGAAAAAAATGCCTTGATAAGATCCAGCTGTAAGGCATTTTCTCAATTAGTGATTGATGGAATACCCAGCCCATGATGAGTGCTGCCATTCCCGGGCTGCTGGCCTTGTGTTCTATAAGAAGGTGGGTTGAGCAAGCCAGGAAAATCAAGCCAGTAAGGAGCTCCCCTCCTTGGCCTCTGCATCAGCTCCTGCATTGATATTCTGCCTTGTTTGAGTTCCTGTCCTGATTTCCTTCAGTGATGAACAGCAATACTGTAAGCCAAATAGTTCCTCCCAACTTGCTTTTTGGTCATGGTGTTTTGTTGGCAGCAATAGAAACTCCTTTTTTTTTTTTTTCCCCTGAGACAGGGTTTCTCTGTGTAACATCCCTGGCTGTCCTGGAACTCACTCTGTAGACCAGACTGGCCTCAAACTCACAGAGATCCACTTGTCTCTGCCTCCAGAGTGCTGGAATTAAAGGCAGAAATACCATTATTTAATACTTAGTTTTGGACACCTGGTGTGTTTTAATTTGTAATGTAGCTTAGTCCATTCTGGCTAGACTCTGACTATTTCTGTAGTTGCATAGGGGTTCTCACTGTGTGGTTGTAGGAACAAAGGCAAAAATGGAGTGATTCTCTGGGGAACTCAGTTTTCTTCCTCCTGCCTCCCCATCTTTCCATTCTGCTCTGTTTCCTTGTATTGTTTTTATACTTTTTTTTTTTATCTCTCTGAACTAATTCCCAAGGGGCATTTAAGTGAGAAGTTCATTTTGGCTCACAGTTTAAGGGGTACAGTCTACTGAAGATGGAGACCATGGTGGCTGGGTCTTCATCCATGGTAACAAGAGCTTCTAGCATAGATTACTCACATCTTAGTGGGCGAAGAAGAATGCTCAGACTGGAAGCAGAGCTGGCCAGTATCCCTTAAGGCCCACCCCAGACAGTGATCCACTTCCTGTTTCTAGTCCTCTTTGCCTGGAGGTTCTATGACTTCTTAGAATAGCACCACCACCTGGATATCAGGTGGTCCAACACTTGAGGGATGTTTCATACTCAAACCATAGCACCACCTGTCTTTCTTCTTCTGTTTCTCTAGAGGGACATGGCATTGAATGATTACTGCTGGCCACTAGAAATACTTGGATTTTGGTGGAGCATGAAGTCTGGTGCAGATTTCATCGGAGGACATTGAGAGAGGCAGCCAATTAGGAATTCATAGAAATTGTCGAAGCAGTACTAGCTAGTATGTATTAATTGCTAACCCTGTGCCAGAATTATTAATTATTTAATTTTTCCAGAACACTACTAATAATTATTTCTTTCACTGTGGACTCTGAGATCTAAAGGTAGTCCCGATGTGGACCCTGACATACAGGAAGGCTTAGAAATTTACCCAGAGCCATACAGTGGAGGCTTTAACCTGAATGATCTTATCTCTAAGACCTTTGCTGTAGTGATTATCTCAAAAACATCTTGAAGAAAAGAGAATCTTGAAAAAGACTTTGAGCTTCCATTTGGTCTGCACTGCAGAGTTAGTGTGGGAAGGCCCAAGGGATTATTTGCCATAGGTGGATCCTTGTAGCATTCTTCCTCTTCTTGTTCTTCTTCTCTCTCCACTCCCCCCCTTCAGATGCACTCCACTCTTCAGCAACCTGCTGCTTTCTGCCAGGCCCCACCATTGGCATTTCCATCTCCTGGCAGTCCAGGTAGACTTTGAGTCCAAGAGTGAATGTCATCATTGACTGGATCAGAGCCCTCATAATCTATCTCAGGAAATGTCCCGACAAACACACCCAGAGGTGAGTTTCACTAACTCTGAGGCATTTCTCAACAAGTTGAATTGATAATTAAGGTTCTCAACTGTGCTTGGTGGACTTCCCCAAAGGCCATGCTCCTGTGTGATCAACTCTTGAGACCAAGAAATACACATTACCTCAACCACAGACAGCCCTGGCTTCCACCACTGCCCCTGTGCTCATCCCAAGGGTGTGCATCCTGACTTCTGACCTGATAGACTGCCCTTGACATCCCACGTAATATCACACACTGTTGCAGATACTTTCTTTTCAGTCATTTGTTTGAATTTTGAAGATAGGGACATTCAGGTTGAATAGTATTTGGGAAAGGCTGTTATACAGCCATTGCTTCTTGCACCCAGGGGCAATTGGTTTCCTGGCCCAGACTGATGGCTACATTTCACCTGTCAGAGTTTCCAGCAGAGTCCATCTTGGGTAGGGGCTACAGGATGCTTCACAGCAGGAGGTAGTAGGGTCATTCATTGCAGGGGTTTTTCTTCTGTTTGCTGACAGCAAATGCTCTGGGGCACTGTCAAGGGATGTTTTCACTTTATTTTTAAATTTTAATTTTTATTCTTTGCAACCATTATATCCTGATCAGTTTGTCCTGTATTTTTCCCAATCCTGCTCTTCCTCCCCTCTCTCCAGATTTACTCATTCCCCATTTCTCTTCAAAGAAAAAAAGAGCAGGCCTCTCAGGGATATCAACTAAAGATGATATAACAAATAAGATGCCTTCAATTTGACCAGCTCAGCATCTCCCTCCCACCAAAGTGCTGTGTTTCTTATGCCAGCTTCAGTCCCTGGTTGCCTGCATGCTGTAGGGCTGACCGAGACTGAGCCTGGTGCTGTATGTCTTTGGATTTTAATGCTCAGGCCTGTTCACTAAGGGGGCAGCCTCTCTTACCTCTAGAGTCACCTTAGATGGTTAAGGTGACATGTGTATTCAGGCTGAGGAGCTTTGCTCTCTGTGATGTGGCCCAATAGTTCCTCAGTCAAGCACAGGTGGTGGCTGTCATTCTGCATTTGGCCACAGGCCACAGAGTGCTTTGCCAACAATTTTGGGATGGAGATCTTCCCGGCCTCTTTGGCCCAGATATTGCAGCTTGTCTCATAGAGCTGGGAGCATCTCCTCAGCCATGCTCTTTCATCCCATTTAGTGGGGGTGGGAAGTGGGCAGAAGCACAAGCAAAAAGAAGGCTCTATGCTCCTGGAACTAGAATTAACTTCCCAAATGCCAAATAAGATTTCTTTTCTTGAAGCAGGGCTCCTTATATCCCAGTTACAGAATGAATAGCTTATCATGCTCTCTCCTCAGGCATGGCATCATAGCATTCTAGCAGAGACTGTTTGGGAAAGTCCTGCATCCTCTGCTTGGCTATGAAACTTTAGGTAAATTTCTTGATTTCTCTGATCCTGAGCAGAATGGGGATCCTATTCTGAATCTGTTCAGGTTGTGTTTACTATTCAGAGCCAAGCACCTAGACTAGCCTACTGAAGGCTTGATGCATGGTAAGCATCCCTAAAACTGCAACACAGGTCCTTGTGGGTTTTGGAGCATTCCACACCAGAAGGTAGTTTTGTTATTCATGGTTTCCAGACAGGGAGATTGAGGCACAGACTGGCCAAGTTCCTGCCCTAGACTTCTACATCCAATAGGAAGCTGAGGTAGGATTTGAACCAGAGGTACTTGATTTCCTGTTTTCCTGTGCATGGTGGCAGAACCATTTGGGGCTTGCCCATGATTATCAACTGAAGAGCATGTTTCTTTCAGAAAGGCTCTCTTGGCAGTTAATATTGATTGTCAGCCTGGTGGGATTTTGAATCATCCAGGAGACAATCCTCTGAGCATGCATGTGAGGGGTTATCTTGAGGAGCTTCATTGCGCTGGAAAGACCCAGCCTGAATGCAGGCAGAATCACTCTATGAGCTGACACACTGGGCTGACTAAGGTGGAATGTGAACACCAGCATTCATCTCACTGTGCTTCCTGACCCAAACATAGCCACCTCCACCTCATGTCTTGCCACTACACTTTCATTATCATGATACACAATACTCTTCCCTTGTCTGTTGTTTTGTTATAGCAATGAGAAATGTAACTAACATATTCCCCTTACCCATAAATAATTCTTCGAAAATGGGACCAGTGCTATTCATTTTATGGTATAGTAAAGATACTAAGCATAGCTAGAACCCGAAGACTGGCAGTGCTAAGACCCTTTGACTCTGCCCTCCTGATGGCCCATACTAGGGTTACAGGAGCCTAACAATGCATTAGATTAGCCAGGAAAAATGAAGCCTGTGGGGAGGAAGGAAAACAAAGAAGCAGAAGAGAACAATGGTGGAGGTGGGAGAGGCGGGGAAATGTCAGGGTGGGAGGTGAGAGGATGGATCCAGGCAGCAGAGGAGGAGAAATCAGTGATTTATATTTGGCTGGAGGTGGAAGATTGATCTTGGTCCTGCTTAGGGTCTGTGTGGGGAAGGAAGAGGGCAAGGATGTAGGATGCAGGCAGCAAGCAGAGCAGTGGGAATGTAAAGAAGGGCCATCAGAACAGGTCAGACAGTTTCAGTTCCCCAATTCTGTGGAGGATGGGCCCTAGGGAGACAGCACTCTGAACTCCACACCCTTGCTCTGTTGCTCTGTACTCCCTGAAAGACTATATGGGCCAGGCCCCATAGCCCAGATCCAGATTTTACTACCCTATACATCCCAGCTTCCCAGCAAGATCACCTGTTCCAGACCGATGTCTTCAGGACTGTGAACGGAACCAGCTGTACAGTCCCAGATCCGTTTCTGAGTGGAGGTGTGTGGACTAGGGAAGTTTAATTACCCAACAAGCTAATGATGAGACAGGAAACACCATATCATCTCAGGAGGGCTCCCAGCTGACTCTGAGTGGCCCCAGTTTATTGAGAGGCCCATTTAAATAGTCCTCTAAGAGCAGGGGCAACATCAGGAAGCATTTTTCACAATGCATATCGCTAACAAGTGATTCTGTTGCCTGTACAATTCTTGGTCAAGCAGGCAGTCTTGAGCCCAGGTGTGGGCCTACTCAAGGCTTAAGTGACAGAGATGCAAATTAGGAGGCATATCACCTTCGGCAATGGTAAACAGTAACATACAATGGTGACTCGGAGTTTCCTGGCGCCATCACTGTTTATGTCAGCCAGGGCCTGGATCCCAGAATATTCCATAACAGGGATATTTGGTCCCCCACAGTCGCCATAAACCAAAGTGAATTCCTTTCCAGCCCAGTGTTCCCTTTGACACTGTTCAGAGAAGTTGACACAAATAAACTCCACCATGAGACTCTTTCTTTCATCCAGGAAGAGCTTATGTTTGCTCATCTAGGCATGTCTCAATGGAGTACTGGAGGTGTTAAAAAAAGAAGTACTTGGGCTGATCCAAGGTCTTTTTGTGGACAGGGCAGGAATAATAACACCAAACAGGGAGGCAGACCTGCAGGAGTGCTTCAACCATCTGGATTCTCTATGCTTAGGATCTTGTCATCTTGGCTGAGAAAGGTGGCCAGATCCCTGTCTTTAAGGGCTGTCAGAACTCTCTGAGGGGGGGGGGGGGGGGGGGGGGGGGGGTTTTTTTTTTTTTTTTTTTTTTTGGCTTTAATGGAAGAGGCTTGTTTTTTTTTCCTGTTAATTTGAAATTTTTTTTTCTCTTTTTATTATAATTATAATTATAATTATTATTATTATTAATTCAAGTTAGGGAACAGGCTTGTTTCACATGTAATTCCCCTCTCCCTCCCCTCACCCCCATTCCTTCTCCCCCACCTCCAGC